CAGATCACAGATCATCAGGGTGGGAAGGGACCTTGAAGGTCATCTAGTCCAATCCCCACCCCACCCCACCCAAGCAGGAGACCCTACACCATTTCTGACAGGTGGGAGTCCAATCTTCATTTGTCTGAAACGGTGGGAGTTTTCCTGCTTGAGGAGGGGGCTAGGAGACCACCAAGGTCTCCTCCAACCCTGTTATTTTCTTACACTACAGGAGAGCATCGCTCAGGAGTTTTCCATTACACAGCAGGGCAGGATCCACGGGGGTTGCAAGGCTTGCATGAACAAGGAGGGAGAAAGAGGGCCGGTGCAAAGCTAGGAAACCCACTTTGGGGTCCCTGGCTTGGTCCCCAGTTGGAGGCGGGGCCCCTATTCCTTGGAGGGGGGGGTGCTTCCCAATGGCACCATCCTCCCCCTTTAACTTCTCCCCTCTTTGATTCTCTCTGCAGGGAAGGAAGGAAGACCATGGGGCGATTCCTCTTTGCGAGCCTCGGCTTGCTGGTCGTGGCTTTCTCCCTCAGTGGTGAGTTCAAAGCGGGTGTCTCGTTCCTGGAGAAGTCAATTATCTTGTCTCTGACCTTCCTGATTTCACACACACAAACACACACACACACACACACACGCACACACCCTGCTCCCGAATCCTCTCGCTTAAGTTGCTGTTTGGCTTATTGTGTCATTTCAACCCCACTTTGTCTCTCTGATCCCAGACCAGAGGTGGGGATTCAGCCGGTTCTGACCGGTTCTGGAGAACCGGTAGTGAAAATTTTGAGTAGTTGGGAGAACCGGACAATCCCACCTCCGACTGGCCCCGCCAACCCCCATCTCTTCTCTGCCTCCCGTTGAGCTCCAGCTGATCGCCTGGGACTTCTTCTTTGGTTGCCCTGCATAGGGAGAATGGAGCTGGAAAGCAGGTTAGCGGGGTGGGGAAGGAAGGGAGATTTTAGGGCAACCTTCCCCTGCCAAGCCCACCAAACCACGCCACGCCCACCGAGCCACACCCACAGAACCCAATACTAAAAAAAAATTGAATCCCACCACTGTCCCAGACTTGGGGCTGTTTGTAGCAATGCGACAACAAAGCGAAAAAATTCAAAGCGATTGAAATGCAGAATTAATTGAAAGTTAATTAATTAATTAAAAAGTTGGCAGAGATGCGTGCATCGATTGTTTGGGTTTTTTTTAAAAAAATAAGCACTCTCCACCTCTTGCTAGCGATCCCCCTGCGCGAGAGCTTAGATCCTTTTTCACAAACCTGAGAGTTGGCAGGGCATCTTGGGAAGGGGCTCCGGAATTATGACGGGCTTTGCCCGTTTGATGCATTTCTAAATAAAAGGAATTATTATGGGAGACGGACTTCGCTGTTTGTTTAAGTGGGTTTCATCACTTGGAAACCTGACAGGGGGGTCAGACCGGGCGTGGGCTGCTGCCGGTTTGGATGGGTTCTAGCCAAGGGTGGGATTCAGAAATTTAAAAAAACGGTTCTGTGGGTGTGGCTTAGTTGGTGGGTGTGGCTTGGTGGTCATGTTATTGGCTGGGTGTGGCCAACTCAACCTCACTCACATCGAGGCACGCCTCTCCTCGCCTGGCCTCTCATGATTGTGAGGATGCTGCAACAGTTGTAAGTCTGAAAAACGGTCATAAGTCACTTTTTTCAGTGCCATGGTGACTTTGAATGGTCCCTCTACACAAGCAAAGTACCAGCAAAGGAGCAGAAAAAAAAACTCCAGAGAAATTCCAGAGACAGGAAGTCTAGTCCTGCCAAGAATGGAATAAGGAGTAACGGAGAGGCAGTTTCTGTAAGCAACACCAGAATGTTTCCTTCCTGCCTTCCTTACAGGATTAGCCCTGTAATTTCTTCTAACAACCGGTTCTCTGAACTGCTTAGAATGTTAACCGCTTCTAGCGAATAGTTGCGAACCTGTAGGATCCCATCCCTGATTCTAGTGAACCAGTAGTTCCAACCATCAGTTGGCCCCATTCACCCACCCCCGCCGTATCCTGTCCTATATTCCTTCTTTCATGCCTCAGCTGTTCTACCTACCAGGGCTGCCCTAGAAAGTAAGTAGCTGAGCTTCAAACGGCTGTTTTTGAACGCTGTGACCCTGTGCAAAGCACACATTAGGCATGCGTTGCAGTCCACCACTGGGTCAGACCCATAAATAATCACCCCTGAAGCCTGTGAACAGCTATGGGACATCCTGGTGGCCAGTGCACTTCCTTAAGCAGAGACTTATATGATCCCTGTAGTGACAGGATTCCGATAGTCGGCTATTTGTCAGGATTCCAGCAGTTACCCCAATTAAATCGAGAGTCTCGGGCCACACTCCCAAAACCTCAAAGGATTTACTGGAAGTCAACATGTCGGCATGACCTGGGTGTAGCCGACTCTGAGATACGTAATTCACTGTCACCCTTGACCCTGCTATTTCCCCCATCCCTCTGAGTGTATCATAATCCATATTCTCCAACAAAACACGTCCATAGTCAAGAGTCATCAATCATGCTCTCCAATTAGATTTTTTCACGGCAGAAGCTTTAGTCATCTAATCTGTCTCCGAATAAAATATGAATGGAAGGTACTTTCGATTCCACACTGCCACTTTCTCTTTGAAATTCCTCCCTGTCTTTCTGTTGGCAACTATAAAACGTGTATAGTAAACGTTTTATGAGTTGACATGTAGTTTTCACTGGTCAATGGCTTGACTCTTACCTTCTTCAGCAGTTACAATTTCAGGAGAGTCGTGAAGGTAGCCCCACGTAAGCCCGTTGGAAGAGTTGTGAGGGTTGTGAGACCTGCTCGGGAAGGTCCCCGTTTCACACCCCAAAGCCAAGTGGACCAAAGTTAAACAGGCTTAATCTGGTCCTTGAAGGAACCCTGTTTTCTGGCTTTTTGCCTGGTTCACCGAATGGTAGACCAAACAAAGTGGACAGGTTCACACACAAGACACGTAGCTTTAAGGAAATTAACCCAGGTTAACCCAGACCAAGTTTTGGACATTCTCCAAATGCAGCTTCCCCGTCTGTAACCAGGGGTGGGATGCAAATATTTTTACTACTGGTTCTGTGGGTGTGGCTACGTGGGCATGGCCATGTGACTTAGTGGGTGTGGCTTCTTCATTTTTTGCATACACACACACCATTTTTTGCCTCCTGGGCCCCAGGGAAACGTCCTGGGAGGCCATTTTTGCTCCGTGGAGGCTTCCCTGAGGCCCAGGAGGCAAAAAATGGAGCATGGGAGGGGGGCGCAGCACACACACACACCCATGCACCCCCTTTTGCCTCCTGGGCCTCAGGGATGCCTCCTGGGTGAAGCAATAAGACAGTGAGGGGGATCCCAGCACAGCTGATCACCAGAACAGCTGATCATCGGGAGGAAAAGCAAAAAGAAATACCAGTTTGGCCAAACTGGTAGCTATTTTTTTAACTACCAGTTCGGCTGAACGGTAACATATTTTACTACCGGTTCGCCTGAACCAGGCCAAACCGGTAGAATACCACCATTGTCTGTAACACAAGTCAATTTCAATTTATTGCCATCAAAGATGTTTGTAACTCAGCAGGTTAAGGATGTTCTGCAGACCCAGCTGTCTCCTCCTCCTCCTCCTCCTCCTCCTCCTCCTCCTCCTCCTCCTCCTTTTCTCCTGGTCATCTTCTCATTGGACTTTCTCTCTTCCCACCCAGGAATTGGAGCCAATCGCTATTGTCCCTTTGATTGGTTCTCCTACAATATGTCTTGCTACAAGCTCTTCTACCCTCCGATGTCCTGGGACCAAGCACAGGTTAGATGTGCCCCGTGCCTTTGAATATGAATTGAATATGAGAGATTGTTTGAGATGGGCCATCAAGGGAGACCTGGAGGTCAACTAGACTGTGTGCATGAAAAGGTAGCACACATCACCATTTTAGGACAGCCTGAAATGCAAGTATGAAACGTGGACTTTATACTGGTGTAGACTTTTGTCAGTGAACAGTGTGACTATATGTGAGACAACAAGGAGCAAATACAGTTAAACAGAGGTTTGCATTTAAATAGTGGTTTTTATCTACAAAAAACATATACATACTCGTACTTTAATCAGATCTCAAAAACAACCAGCAATTGCAGCATGGAAGCACACACAGGATGGTGGGGAGAGATACACCCCAACAGGGCCTCTTTTTATTACACAGGCTCTTAAAGGGATATCAGCCCCAAAAACCTTGCTGACTCCTTCCCAGCATTACATCCTCTCAGCAGCTGGTCAGCTTTCAAATCATTCCCTTGACAAGTTTCATGGCCAGTTGATCTTCTGGGTTGAGTGACTATCTTTTAGACCACAGATTTCCTGATGTTTTCCTGGCAACTCAGGCTGGTATTTTCGGGCCTCTTGACCACCTGGCCTCTGAAGGGATGGGGGAACTTGAGATTTGAATACATGAATTTAAGCCAGGAACTTTTCAAGAGCTGCAGACTCCAGCAAGGACATCTGCAGAGGGCAGGGAAGTTAAAACAGCAGCCGGGACCATGCTCTTTTCTCACAGGCACAAATACACGCAGATAGAAATGATGTTCCTTCTTTGCTGAACAAGTGTCCTTCTCTGTTGTTGTTTTCTCCCAGAGGTTCTGTGTGGAACAGCAGGAAAACTCCCAACTCGCCTCCATCAACGACGTGGCAGAGTCGGTGAAGTTGTCCAACTACATCTCCCAAAGATTGACATTCCTTGATGTTTGGATGGGACTGAGGCTTTCGAAGAGAGTAGGTCCTTGCTGATCTTTTATCGATGCTTTTTGTTATCATTTCTAAGGGGCTGTTGGGTTGGAAGGGGCCTAGGGAATCTCCCGGCCAAAAATTTGACGAAGAATCGTGTGGCAGAATAACCCATAGCCCTGTGGTTTTTTCTGGCAGTCTCTCACACAGGGACTCATTGACTTTGACCCCATTTCTCACTCTGAGGTCAAACCAGTATCAGCTGAGCTGGTGACTTCATGGACACCTCCAGAGAGTTTTTTTTTCTGGGGCATTTCCAAAATGCAGGGCCCAAAAACCGATCGTTTATCATTAACAGAGTGGATGGGAGGAATTCCCTCCAGAAGATAATGAGAGGGGCTCTTACATTCTAAAAAAAAATATGTGCTCATATTTAAACATTGTAGGAAAGGAGGTGAAAACGATACGGCCGTGCACATACATAGGTAATAAATAATGTAAGCACGGACACTTGTTCAGTCATATCCAACTCTAGGGGACAGTGTTCATCTCTGTTTTTGTGATGACCCAAAGGGGCGTGGCACAAAGGCAACACAGTGAAATAAGTAGGAGTCCCTTTATTAGCTCCAACTTTGCCCCCAATGTCCTGGTTACCTTCTGGATGGAGAAAATTCTCCCAGGAACAGCCTTTTGGCTGCGGAGAATCAAGTCCAAAACATGGTCAACAAAAACTGTAACTATAAGTCCAATCAAGGCAAGATGAGATAATTAGTCCTACACGGCAGGAGCAAGAATTCCAGATGTGAAGGCATGACAATAACTTAACATGGTTGGGAGGATGCCAGGAACACAGATAACCAAAGTCAACACAAGATAAACTCACATTTGTTCCCAGCAGCTGCCTCACCCAGCATGCATTTCTTTTAACTCTCTTCCCAGCTGTGGCTAATGAAGGGAATTGTTGAGATATTCCCCGTTAGGAGAATGAGTGCACTCAGGGAAACATAGTGAGAGTGGTGATGAATAACACACAACCAGCACACAGATACACTGAATAGTAAAATGTAAGTTTTACTTCCAGTAAACGGGTAAACAAAGTCTAACAAACAGTCCATATCATACATGGTTAAAGCAGTTAGTATTCAAAACAATCAGTCCAGGGATAATCCAAAAATGAAGTCCTTTTCTTTACCTCAAGACTTCAAGATTGCCTCAATTAGCACATTAGCACATTCCTTTATGCTTGTTCCTACTCCACCCAAAACTGGTTTTACTCATACTGATGGTCACGTATCAAGACTTCACCAAGTATAACACTACCTAGTTGTTCAGATCAACTGAAATTGATCAGATAGGTGGAAAAAGAAGAGAGAGAGACACAGAGAGAGACACAGAGAGAGACAGAGAGATAGAGAGATAGAGAGAGACAGAAAGACAGAGACAGAGAGATAGAGACAGAGACACAGGGGTGGGATTCAAATTTTTAATAACCAGTTCTGTGGGCGTGGCTTAGGTGGTGGGCGTGGCTTGGTGGTCATGTGACTGGGTGAACATGGCTTGGTGGTCATGTGATTGGCTGGGCGTGGCCAACTCAATATAACTCACATCGAGGCACGCCTCTCCTCGCCTGGCCTCTCATGACTGTGGGGATGCTGCAACAGTCGTAAGTGTGAAAAAGTGTCATAAGTCACTTTTCTCAGTGCCATTGTAACTTTGAATGGTCCCTCCACACAAGCAAAGTACCAGCAAAGGAGGGGGAAAAAAAACTCCAGAGATGTTCCTGAGACAGGAAGTCTAGTCCTGCCAAGAATGTAATCAGGGTTAACGGAGCGGCTGTTTCTGTCAGTGACACCAGAATGTTTCCTTCCTGCCTTCCTTACAGGATTAGCCCTGTAATTTCTTCCAACAACCGGTTCTCTGAACTGCTTAGAATGTTAACAACTGGTTCTAGTGAATAGGTGCAAACTGGTAGAATCTCACCCCTGCAGAGACACACAGAGAGACCTAGAGACACAGAGAGATCATCTATTGGTTTATAAAGATTAAGAGAGTTGGAAGGGACCTCTGATTCTCTGAGTTTGCCCCTTGAAATGCGCCAACTTTTCTCTCTCCGTCCCTGGGCCCTACATAGCCAGAGCCCCTTCCCCAGTTGGTTAACATGGTTTCCCTTTCATTACAGAAAGGCATCTGGGAGTGGAGTGATGGCTCCAACCTCACTCACACATCCTGGAAAGAAGGTGAACCCAACAACCTTTTCAACAAGGAATTCTGTGCTGTCCTGTCAGCCGGAACACGTAAGTCAACATGTTGCGGGGGCAACTGAGGGTGACCTTCCAATAATAAGGACACCATCTGATCCCGTCTTGCAACGTTCACCCCTTGGCCACTGGTGGCCTTGGTTGCATCTTGGAGCTTTCACAGTCCTACCCTCTGTACAGACCAGGGAACACAAAAACACCCGTAGGAGAAATAAAATTGAAAGCATCATTCCTTCAAAAATCGGGACTGTAAGTAGAAATTGTTGCAGGAAATATCACCCCATAATTCAGGGGGGTGTCAAACTCAAGGCCCTCTGGCTGGCCTGGGAATAGCAAAGGACCGGCCTGCGATGCCACTGCCTAGCTAAAAATGTGGCATGAATGGGGGTGTGTGCAGGCCCCATTTTCTCTGCCAGGGTGTTACAGGAGGCAGCCCAGGCCCCAAAATGCTCCCTTCCTCCCCCCCTGCCCCATTTTGGCTGCCAGAGTGCTGCAGGAAAATAGTTGGGAAAGAAAAAAAGTTGGGAACAGAGAAGAAAAAGAATTGGTCAGGAAAGCAATTTTTTCCAAAAAAAAAGGAGGTGGCCAAAGAGAACAGAGTTTAAATATAAGGTGCAGGGAGACACACAACCAACAGAAGAAATATGGATGGCATAGAAATGAGAAAAGCAGTTTAAATAAATGAACTGTGGCTTAATCCAGGGGTTGCTAACCTTTTGGACCTCAAACTCATAATTTCAAATCCTATGGACCACTAATATGGATTTTGACTGATGGCGGCTTGCTGGCGTTGGTGGGAAAGTCGGTCCCATAATCCAGAGCTGCAGGAGTCACAGGACTGGCTCTTTGGTCACTCCGGAGCAGCTGCTCCTCCACCAGGGTGCACCAGCCTGCCAGGGGCTGGAGGAGCTGCTCCGAGATGACCAAAGGGCCGGTCTTGTGACTACTGCAGCTCTGGAATATGGGATCGACTCTCCCACCAATGTCAACAAGCCACCCCAGAGCGGATTTCCCTCCCCTGCCATTGGTCTTACCTTCCAGTTCCAGCTCACAAGGCTCTACTCAAGGTTTGCGCTCAGTCGAAGGGTGGGGGTCAATGGATGAGCCGGCCATTCGGGCATTGCAGCCTTGTGTTCCCATGCAGCCTGGATTAATTGCTTTGTGTGGGGGGGGGACATTTCTCTGTGGACCACCAAAATTTTCCTGTGGATCACCAGTGGTCCCCAGCCCACCAATGGGTGACCACTGGACCGGATAACAAACTCCCGTTGCAAGGAAGTCGTTCTTCCAGGGTCAATATCTTAAGGCCGTGAAATTGGGCACGTGGTATAATTCTTCGCACTGGCAGGTTCAAGAGACTTCTGAACTGGGAAATTAGTTAATAAACTAATTTTGTTTCACTGACCCTCGTTGAGAGGGCTGGAAGAGTTGGTGGCAGAGAGGACAACAGACGTCAACTCGTAAAGCATTCCTGGTTTGCTCTCCAAGTTGCCATAAGAAGGAGGGAGGGAGAGAGACCTAATGGAGGAGTTTGGTTATGACCAGAAGCACATTCCACGCATAACTTTCCCCAGATTGTGTCCCAGGTTACCAGAGCCAGCCGGAGAGGCGTGTTTTCTACAGCCGGGGAGAGTAGTCACATAGGACAAAAAAGAAGCTTTGCTACCCTCCTGTGGCTGAAAGCTTGATAGGAAAGATCTGATAGCCATGACCTCACTTCTCTCTCTCCCTCTCCCTCCCTCCCTCCCTCCCTCTCTCTCTTTCTCTCTCTCTCTCTCTGTCTATTATCTATCCCTTTCTCTCTCTATCATCTATTTCAGAAGTCTCCAAACTTGGCAACTTTGAGATTTGTGGATTTCAACTGGCTGAGGAATTCTGGGAGTTGAAGTCCATAAGTCTTAAAGTTGCCAAGTTTGGGTACCCCTGCTCTCTCTCTCTCTCTCTCCCTCCCTCCTCATCTCTATTTAGCTATCTATCTAGCTACTAGCTAGCTAACTAGATAGGTATCCTATCTGTCTCTCTCTCTCTCTCTCTGTCAATCAATCTATCTATTTCTATCTATCTGTCTGTCTACCTACCTATCATTAAATTATCTGCCACTCATTTCACTATCCAGCTGTGTTACAATAACCTACTGAGCCCAAAGCCCATCATAAGCCGGTGAGGTTCTCCTCCTGCAAAGGAGGGTTCCAGTTTTCCAACTAACCAACTCCAAACCAACAGACTCCGAGACAGGCATTTTCTCGAAGTTCCATTTTATCAGAGTAGTCGTATCGGCGCATCTGGGAGGACTGGAATCTCTCCGATTCGAGTTTTCCCTTCGCAGTTGAAAATTCAAAGACCCACCCACTGCACCATCCATCCATCCCACGGTCCAAGCACCCGCCGTCCCAACTGGAGAAATCGCTCCAACCCACTCCTTTCCCAGGGGCAGGATGCAAGGGGTGGGATTTCACCGGTATAGCAACCGGTTCGGTGATCGTGCGCTTCCTCGTCGCAGCGAACTGGTTTGGAGCAAGCTGAACCCTGGAACAAGCGGTTCGCTCAAACCGATCCAAACCGGTAGAATTCCACCCCTGGCAGGGTGGCTCATCCTTGACTTAGAAGAAGAACGTTGTGAGGTCTAAACTTCCACCTCTCCGTAATTCCCACTAAAATGTGGCCGCGTGGAAGTTCCAAAGCTGACGGAGGGAGGTGCCACTGAAATGCTCCTCTGGGACTCTGAGGAGTTCAGTGCAAAACTTTCTCTTTTGCTACCCAGGGTATCTCCAATGGAACGATAAGAAGTGCACACACCTGCATCCATTTGTCTGCAAGTTCCAGCCCCGGAGTGAGGCAGGCGGCTAATGGAGGTTGGAGAAGCAGCGAGGCCTGCCTGCCTGATCGCTGAAATCTCTGCTCCGCACCCCTTTTGCGGAACAGATGCTTTGTGTAGCTTGGACCTGATTTTGCTCATTCCTGTGGGCCGGAAGTTTGAATAAATTCTCTCTAGCATAACTGGTGTCCTTTATTTTCAAACTCAGAGGTCTGTAGCTCCAGATCCCCAAGACTTCTGCACAGCAAGGGTCGGTATTAACAAACAACAGATAATCAGAGTTGGAAAGGATCTTGTAGGTCATCTAGGCATGGCTTGGTTGCCACTTTCACCAACACAACTTCACGGCCATGCCCACTTCTGAGGCCCAGTTCCGAGGGGGACCCCAGATCTAACTGACCAGTGGTGGCCCTGATATAAATCTTTGTAGCTTCGCCCATAGTTTCTGGATTTAATTGGCAGGGGAGAACTTTTGCTAGGGCCACCTTCCTGAGGTGCCCCTCCTGAAGGCCAATTAAAGTCCACGGAGTCGATAGAGACGACCCAGATGCCGTTTCTTCACAATTTCGGCAGCGGTGGGCTTCAAAATTTTTAGCAAGGGGTTCTCTGCCTGGTTGCTGGGTGGGTGTGACCATGGTGGGCGTGGCCTAGTTGGCCTCCTGCACCATGGCAGGAGAGGGGACGTTTTCACCCTCCCCGGGCTCCGGAGGCTTTCCTTGAGCCTCCGGGAGGGCAAAAATGGCCTCCCTGGGCTCTGGAGGCTCTCTGGAAACTGGAAATGGGCCCATTTCCGGCCTTTCCAAATGTCCGGGAGGCCCACTTTTCACACTCCTCGAGCCTCCGCGCATGCCCTGAATCCCAAACGGGCCATGTGGGGACACCTGGAAGGGGCGGGGTAGGGTGGGCGGGGCCAGCCAGGGGTGGGATTTGGAGGTTCTCTGAACTGCACAGCATCTTAGCCAGGGGCTTTCCCGAACCCCTGCCAGCCCCCAGCAGCCCCACCCCTGAATCTCGGGGCTCATAAGATAAGGAATCTTATCTTAACAGAGTGAAAGATCAAGTTCAAATCAGAGATCTTTCTGCTAGGTATGCGAGAACCGACACGGGATAAGAAATACCGACACCTAATGCTACATATTATAACCGCTGCAAGAATTTCTCTCGCTCAAAACTGGGAAACTGACCACAACTGACCCTCAGATCTAGCAGGAATTAATAAGATACATCAATGTGCAGAAATGATCAGACTGTGTTATTAAAAAACAGGAAAGAAGAAGAAGAATATTTTATGATATGGAATACATGGTATAAATGGTTAAGGAAAAGGAGTAAAGATGTTTGTGAAAGTGACTAAAGACATTTTAAAGATGAATATGATATACGATTTATATGTATATATTAAAGTAATGTAGATAAATAAGTATTGTAATCTAACAGTAGTGTAGTAATCAAGGAATGAGTAAACTAGTTATAGATATACTGATGGTAAATGAATCTAATCGTTATTTTAAAAAAAATCTATACACTGCTATGATATCACTGTGAGAATGATATCACAGTGTGATATCACAGTATGATATCACAATGTGAGAACTTGTTTCTCCTTTTTAAATTTTTGAAATTTTGAATAAATAAATTTATTTTTTTTTAAAAAAAGAGGAACCCCCAAATCTCCTAGAGCAGGCATCCAAGTGGTAGTTGGAAAACTCAACAACCGGCGCTTCGTGGACCCAGCCTATCATCCTCACCCCGTGTCATTTTTAGCAGGATGCTGCCTTCATGTCCAGAGTGGGGACCAGTGGGGCCAGTCAGGTCTTTTTTGTGGGGGGGTGGACAGGAAAGGAGGTGCTAAGGCCCAGCAGATTCCAAAATCCTTTGGTTCAAATGAGGAGGCCATCAATAAAGCGTCTTGGCATCAAGGGATGGTCCTACTTAAGAGTCATCCTTCCCCCGCTTAAAGCTCAGCCTCGCCATGAAGACTTGGGGGGTTCTAAGCTTTGGACCTCAACTGTCTCCTGGGTCTCCAAAATAAACAAGGCCAGTCATGCTTAGTCAGAATTTATTTGACCTTCTGGCCATACGAGGAGGAGCAAAGTCAGATCCAAGCGAGAGAAAGCATCCACGAAGCGACAGGGTGCAGAGCAGAGGTTTCAACAGGAAGTAGGACTTCATTACTTCCTTTTTATAACATCGACGGTGTTCCTCTCGATTCTCGGCTGGAACTTGCAGACAAAATTATGCCTGGACCCACAGTCCTGATCATTCCACCCGACATAACCTGGGGCAGCAAAAGAGAAATTTGGATCACCTGAGAGTCCCAGATCTTTTCTACGGCTCCTCCCTCAGTGGAAGGAGGACGTGAAGATACCACAAGTGGAGAACCACTTGTGTTAAAACAGGCTGGTGGGGTGGGGTTTCCGCAGGTGATTGTGACCTAGGTGCCATCATGTTTCTTTTGTCCATTTTTAAATTCAATTTATTTTTTTAAAAAAAATTTGTATCTTGGGTTTATTCATTTTACAAAGAATTCAACGCAATGAACGAATCGAACAGACTGTCAGCCTCGGAAGCCATTTTTTGTACTTGGAAGCTTCCAGGCTGCCATATCTAATGCCTGGGAATTTGGGAGGAGGGATTTCATAGTGAGGTAGAAGTTTAGACGCAACCGCCTTCTCTCCCGCGGAGTCAAGGACTCCTTCAAACCGCTAGGTGTTGCCCTGCGCCTGGAAGGGAGTGACGGGAGGGAGGTCTCCAGTTGGGGCGAAGATTTGATTGGGCCGTGGGGTGGATTGATGTGTGCAGAGGATGGATCCTTACATTCCCTTTGGGGGAGGGAAAACCCGGAACGCTTAGATTTGGGTTTTCCCAGGTGTGCCCATAGGTAAAGGTAAAGATTCTCCTCGCACATACATGCTAGTCATTTCTGGCTCTAGGGAGCAGCGCTCATCTCCGTTACAAAGCTGAAGAGCCAGCACTGTCCAAAAATGCCTTTGTGGTCATGTGGCCAGCAGGGCTAAATGCCTCCAAAGGCTCACAGAACGCTCTTCCCTTCCCACCAAAGGGGTCCCTATTTTTCTACTTGCGTTTTTTACATGTTTTCAAACTGCTAGGCTGGCAGAATAGAATAGAATAGAATAGAATAGAATAGAATAGAAGAGAAGAGAAGAGAAGAGAAGAGAAGAGAAGAGAAGAGAAGAGAA